CCTGCCTCACCTGTCTGCTCCTGTCCTCACCTGTCTTCACCTGCCCTCACCTGGTCTCACCTGCCTCACCTGTCTGCTCCTGTCATTATCTGTCTTCAACATCCTCCTTCCCCAGCTCCAGCTACATCATCGGGAAGGACACGTGGGTGGAGCTGTGGCCAGAGCCTGATGAATGCCAGGATGAGGAGAACAAGCAGCAATGCGAGGACCTGGGCTCCTTCACAGAGAACATGATCGTCTATGGCTGCCCCAACTGAAACTCTCAATAAAGCTTTGTACATTTCTTACCCGCACCGAGTCTGCACGTGTTTGGGAGTGGGCAGAGGCAGCTCGGTTCACTTATCCATTCCAGTTTGCCTGAAACACTCACCCCCTCCCCTTGTCCACCTACCTGTACGTTCTCTGGCCCCCTCACTTTAGCAGCCCATACCTGCCTTACTTGGTTCTGGCCTGAAATGTACCTGCATCTTCCTGGCAACTCAGCTCTGCCCTTACCTGGGTACTCACTGGTACTCTTCACCTCTGTCCGCACCTGTCCCAACCTCTCACTTTCTTATCCTTATTGTGCCTCCCCTGTCTTCTCACCAACACTCACCTGACTCCTTAACTGCTCTCTCACTTACATTATCTGTTGTATCAATCTGTGTATTTGTTTGCATCTTCATTTACAGCTTTGACCTGTGCCAGCATTCTTACCTCGACTCTTACCTGTTACCCACCTGCGTACTCTCTGGCACTAGCACCTGCATTGTGCGTTATTACCTAGTTTGTCACTTGCATCTTTGCCTGCAAGGTGTCTCTCTGTCTTCTCACCAACATCCTCACCTGTCTCCTTGCTCTTTGAAAATAACATTTTATTATCATTTGGGGGCAAGTGTAGAGATTCCCATTCAATAATTTCTATGCATACTGTTCAGTGACATTGGTTACATTCTCTTCACACATCTGCATTCTCATTATTTCAGTTTTAGGTGCCCCACTTCCATGAATCCTCTCTTACCATCCCAGTCTTCTTGTCTTTGCTTAGAGTAACTATTAACCATTTGTTCTCATATAGCTTTTATTCTAACACTCTAATCTCCTTTTGTGGTTTTGAAAACCTTTTTGTGGGATTTGGGCAAAATTTTACAGGGCACATTGGGTTTGTGTTCAACAGTCCATACATACGTTGCGTGTTGACATTGACTGTGATCCTCATAAGGCAACAGCATGCTTCCCACTTCCTCTCTATGGCTCCCATTTCTACTACTCCCCTTTCCCTTCCTTTCTTGTTTCCTGAGCTTTGTCCCTGAGCAGATGTTGCCCTTTTGATCTCCTGTGGCTGATTTTTCTAGGGAGTGACTATCTCCCTGATGTTATTGTCCACTTTGTATACCTGTCCATTGTCTGAAATTTGAGCCATGGGGGTGAATACAGTTCCTAATGTGAAGGGAGTTTATGACCATATCGTCTTGAGGGTTCCCCCAATCTCTCTCTGGACAGGAAACCTAGTCTTTTAAGTTCTTTTGAGCCTTTTATTTAAGTTGGGCAACACACAATTTAGTATTTAGAATGAAGTACATGTTTGCAGGAAAGTGTAATGGGATAGATTTTTGGTTTTGTGTTACACCAGCAGATGTATAGTAAAATAACACTGAAATTAATACTTCAAGGATGTTGTTGTCATGTGACGTTGACTTGACTATGACTCATAGCCACCCCATGTACAGCAACTCCAAACCCTGCTCTATCTTGAGCCAGTCTCACTGTCTCTGACACACTTACCCCCATTATCCGTTACTGTGTCAATCCATCTCATCTGGGGTCTCCCAGTCCTCCCTTGTCCCTATACCCATCCAAGCATGATGTCCTACTCCAAAGACTGTCCCTCCTAGCCATGTGCCCAAAGTATGTGAGACAGAGCCTCAAAATCCTTGCCTCTAAGGAGCAGCCTGGTTTCACCCTTCTCCAAAGCAGACCTGTAGTTCTCTTGGCAGTCCATTGTACGTTCTCCAGCACCACAACTCAAAGGCAGCAATTTTTCTATTCTCCTTGGTCACTGTCCAGCTCCCTGATGCATAGCAAGTAATTGCAAACACCATGGCCTGAATCAGGTGAACCTTAGTCTCTAGACTGGCATCGTGGCTTTTTGGTATCCTGGAGAGAACCCTGACAGTGGATTTTCCCAATGTAATTCATCTTTTGATTTCCTGACTGCTGGTGTCAAGAATATTGATTGTGGAATGAAGCAAGCTAAAATTAACAACTTCAAAGGGGGGGAAATGCCGTAATAAATCTGTATATTAAAAAAAATCTTTCTGAGCATTAATAGAATTCTAAGTATTGATGTTAGCTCTCGGTAACGTTATATGAAACCATGCAGATAGCAGCACAATGTTCTGCTCTGTCCAGGACCCCCTACAGCGATCAATCCCTTTCATAGTGATTGGCAGAAGCCACCAGCCAGTTCTTCTGGTCTCAGAGTCGTAACTAGGGTTCTGTTAACTTTATTGTTATTATTTCATATTGGTTTGCATACAAAAGTCACATCCATTGTGTTTCACTCACATGCATGTGTCTCACAATGTCTTCATTCACATTATGTTTCATATGCTCATTCCTGAACGTTGTGTTTTATAGAATTAAGCACCATTTATCTATGTCCACTATCACCCCATCTTTTCCGGTCCCCACTGGATCTGCTGATATTTTTCCCCCCAAGAGCATAGTACTCAAGGGTGATATTCTTTACTTTTTGAGCTAACCTGTTGGTTTGTCTAATGGGACTCCAGAACAACTGAAGTCCAGTGGCCACAGGGCCATAGTCTCAGGGATTCCTCCAGTTGCAGTAAGCTCAGGGAGTCTGGAATTCTGGAAAATATTTTTTATTTCTGTTCCATACTTTCCCCACTTTCTGTCAGAATGGGCCGTAGTGGCAGCTAGGCACCATCTAGTTCTAACTTCAGAGTAAAATGTAGTTCATGGGGACAATTAGCCCTGTAGACCAGCTCCTCCTGTGTCGGATTACCTGCGTTCTTACCTGCCTTTCTCACCTGTATCTTCACCTGCTCCTCCTCTTTATCCGCATCCAGGCCTCCGGGGCCCCTCTGCCTTCTTGCCTCCATGCCCCCCCCCACACCGTTCTCATTTTCATTGCATTTATCTGTCCTCCACAGCTCAGTTTCACTTCATGTTCCATCTCTCTCGGCCTCTTCTGGGGGTGTATTGGAAGCAACTGGTTATGGATCTAAAGTTTGGTGGCAGGAGCACCTCGGAAGAAAGGCTTGGTGATCTGTTTCCTGTGCTGCGCAGTTCTGCCCTGATGCACGTGGGGTTGCCCTGAGTCAGGATAGACTAGAGAGCTGGTTTGGATTTGGGGAGTCTCACCCCAGTCTCAGTCGAGGTAATCCCAAAGGGTTAGAAAAGGCTAGTTGGTGTGTCTACCAGAAGAGGGCAGTAAGGGGTGCCAAGGCTTCCAGCTGGAGCCCTGGGTAGGGCAGGGCAGGAGTCAGCAGGACCGCGGGGCAGTTACTATGACAACGTAGTCAGAACTGTGTGGGAAGTGATGCTGTAGGCCTGTGAGGACCCCGCATGCCTCTGGGGAGGTGGTGATGACTGGGACCCACCTCCAGCTCAGCCACCCCCGTCCATGGAGGCTTGTGTGTTGGTTGCTAAGATACCGAACTGATTTCAGCAGGAGCTTCCAGACTAACATAGACTAGGAAGAAAGGCATGGTCATCTACTTTCAAAATTCAGCCAATGGAGTACAACCATAGGACCCACCAGCCTTCGTGGGGATGGCTCGAGGTTGGGGAGTGTTTTGTGTTATTGTTGGTGGGGACACCACGGGTCAGCATACCTTAGGGGTGTGCATAGTCTCCAGCTTCGGGCCCTCATCACAAAAAGCCCCCTGAGCCTGGAAGTCCCCTGCACAGTCCATTTCTTCCAAGACCTCCCCTCAGGGCTGGAAAACCCCTCCTCCCAACCTAGAGATATCAGGGAAATACCATATTTTTATGCAAACAAGACGCATCTTCTACATTTGGAAACTGGTCTCCCCACTCCAGGTCTTTTTTTGTAAAAACACCATGCAAAGTTTGGTGTTTTTTTGTTTACAAGGGAGCTGTGGTGACCGAGTGGTAGGGGATTGTGCTGTCAACCCAAAGGCACACGGTTCAAATCCACCAGCTGCTGTGTGTGGGGAAAGGTGGGCATTTCTCTCCGGTATAATTTACTGCTTCTGAAAAGATGCCAGAGGGTCAGCAGTAAGTTGGTTCTGACTCTACGGTACATAACAGCATTTTTGTTGTTGTTGTTGTTTTTAAAATTTATTATTAGTTTCAATGAAAATTTACAGACACTTTGGATTTCCATTCATTCATTGTTGCACTTTTTTCCCCTCCCAACCCTTTCCCCCAATAACAGCATTTTTTTTTTTCTTTTACAGCACATTCCACCCTAGACCCAAGCCTGCTCATTTGACCCATAGGACAGGGTAGAACTGTCCCCTAGGACTCTTGAGGCTGTGACCTTACAGAATCGGACTGCCGCATCTTTCTTCTGAGGAGGGCTGGTGCGTTTGAACCACCCCTCTGACTAGCAGTCAAGTGCTCTCACCACTGTCCCACCAGGACTCCATCATCCCACCTTGCCAGCTCCTAACTGCCGAGTAGAGGCCAAGGTGCCTGCCTTCTTAAACACACAAGAACAGAGCCCACAGCTGCCCCACGTGCTACAGGGTCAACCCAGTGAGAGCGGGTACTGATGACCCGGAACAGCACAGACCTGCCTCTGTGGGAATTACGTTCTAAACAGGGAGCAGGAAGGACTTCAATGTGGACGATGCGGACGTCTCATCAGGATGGTGGCTGGAGGGATGCGAGCGGGCCTGCCTGGGTAGAAAGAAGTGGTAGTTGAGGTCGTCTTTCAATTCCAAGGTCCCAGAAGGTTCTGGGAGGAGGCAGCTCTTGGATTGAAGCAGAGGCGGGTCAGTCATGGGCAAGCAAGGGAACAGTGTTCTAGCCCCAGGGAACAAACAGAGCGTGGAAGGCTCCAAGAGAGCGAGGGCCAAGCGAGACCAGCATCAAAGGCTTCTAGAGTGTAGCTCACTTGCTGTTCATTCTAAACTTCTTCTTGTTGTTGTTAGCTGTTGTTGACTTGGTCACAACCCATGGCAACCCTATCTGAACCCATGGTTCAGAGCAATAGATCTGAACCTTGCCTTCTCCTGTGCCATTTTCATTATCTCGTCAGCCCATTGCTGCAGTCACTCTGTCAATCCATTGGGCCTTCTTCATCTTTGCTCATCTTCCACCTTCTCAAGCATGATATGCTTCTTCCAATGACTATCCCCTGCTAACAACATGATCAAAATACGTGAGGCAATGCCTCGTCATCCTTGCCTCCAAGGAGCACTCTGACTACACTTTCCCCAAGACATATATTTGATTTTTTTGACAGTCCATGAGATATTCAGTACTCATTCTAAACTTTTTGTTGTTACGTGCCGTTGAGTCGCCTGCCACTCATTGTGACCATGTGTACCCTAACTCTGAACCCTGCTCCAACCTGAGCCAGTCTCACTGATTCTGACACACCTACCCCCATTATCTCAGCTACTGTGTCCACCCATCTCATCCAGGGTCTTCCTCTCCTTCACTGCCCCTTTACCCTTCTAAGCGTGATGTCTTTCTCCAAGGACTGGTCCCTCCCTAGGAGCTGTGAATTTTTCTGCAAAGAATAAGAGAGTAAGAAATATATTGTAGGACAAGAGGGGGGAAAAAGAAAGACATTTACTTTTATTGTGATCTGGGTGAAAGTTAACAAAGCAAATGAGTTTCCCAGTCAGCCAGCCATGCACATTTTGCTTGTTAGCACAATACCCACAGGGAGCTGCACTTTCCCCACTCCCTCCCAGTGATTCCCATTTCCATGAGCCATTACTGATGCTCTTAGTACCTCGTGTGGTTGGTTATTCCAAGAAGAAACTGCCTCTGTGGTGTTATCGTTCACCTGTTTAGAGGAATAAACTCATGTCCATTTATACTCCGAGCAGCTCATGTTACAGAGTTGAAAGAACTGCACTCCCAAGGGTTTTCTTGGCTTAATCTTTATGGACCCAGATCGCCAGGACTTTCTTCTGCAGTGCTGCTGTGCATATTCCAACTACTGAGCTTTCTGTTAGCTGCTGTTGTTAGGTGCTTTTGAGGCCAACCCAGAGATCCAATGAACAACAGATCTGAACCCTATCCTGTCCTGAGCCATCCTCACCCCCTGTCCTGTCCTGAGCCATTCTCACCCCCTGTCCTGTCCTGTCTTGTCCTGAGCCGTCCTCACCCCTTGTCCTGTCCTGTCCTGAGCCGTCCTCACCCCCTGTCCTGTCCTGAGCCATTCTCACCCCTTGTCCTGTCTGTCCTGTCCTGTCCTGTCCTGTCCTGAGCCGTCCTCACCCCCTGTCCTGTCCTGAGCCGTCCTCACCACCTGACACACTTGAGCTCTTGACTGTTGTCACTATGTCAGTCTATCTCATTGATGGTCATCCTCTCTTTTGCTGACTTGCCACCTTTCCAAGCATGATGTCCTTTTTCAAGGAAGGGTCCCACACAGGGACCTAAAACAGTATAGTGTTTGCACACCTATGCTTACTGCAGCTTTGTTCACAATAGCAAAGAGCTGGAAACAACGTAAGTGCCCATCAACAAATGAATGGATAAATAAGCTGTGGTATATTCATACAATGGAATATTATGCAGCACTGAAAAAACAAGGAACTCATACAATATTATTCAAAATGGGTGACCCTGGAGGGTATTATGCTGAGCAAAATAGCTCAATCACAAAAGGACAAATAATGCATAGTGCCACTGTTGTAAAATGAGACTGACATCGGGATTGGAGGGAGACTTAGAAAGATGGGATAAATGATATATACTGCATTGAAACAGATGAGGGAGAAAATTGTTTAAACGGAATATATGATTAGGTATTATTATCATGATAGGAGTCCAGAACGAAGGCTTCACAGTGGAGTGGACTTGGGAGGGGATTATATAACAGTGAAAGAATTTTTCTTTTACTTTACAAAGAGAAGAACGAACTGTGGGGGGAGGTTGGGCAGGGGGAAAAGTGCAACAATGAATGAATGGAAATCCAAAGTCTCTGTAAACTTTCATTAAAATTAAGTAATAAAAAAAGGAAAATGGAAAAAAAAGTATAGTGTTTCTTTGGTCATTAGATTGCTTGTGCAACTCAGCCAATTTCACTGGGAGTGTCATGAGGGCAGGGATTGAGTCTAAAATGCCAATAACCAGGGGTAGGAGTGACCTCTCCCCACTCCATCCCAGGCCCCACCTGAGTCACATTTTCAGAGACTTCTGGAAAGTGTTAGACATAGCATGAGTGAGAGTGAGCTGGAACCAGAGGTGGGGGGACAGGAAGGAGTGGAGGGTGTGTGGAGAAAGGGGTGGGGCTACTAAACCCCAGTTCTAAAAAGCGCAGGGCCCTCGAGCGAGCGCCCATCTGGAGTGTGCGAAGCCAGCGGCATTGGGCAATACCTGCTTCCTCTGAGCTCTCACTGCTCCGTGCACCAGTCCTATCCTGGGCACCTTGAGCCTGAGCAGACTGGCATGGAGAACGCAGTGGTACAGCCCACGGTGTTTGTGGTGGATGGACAGACAGACATCCCATTCAGGAGGTTGAGATCCCACAGGAGACCCACCTGCAGCGCTGCACGGCTGAGCCTGGTCCTCCTGCTGCTGTTGCTGGGGGCTGGCCTGGCTGTGCAGGGCTGGTTCCTGTTGCAGCTAAATTGGCGCCTGGAGCAGATGAACGACCGCCTGCCGGTGAGTGGACTGGAGGGCATCGGGTGACCTGGGGTGGCATCTTCTCTGGACCTGTGTGTCTGCCTGTGTGTGCAGGAGAGGGGCACACTGAGTGTCCAGCTCAAGGCCTGGCTTTCTGGGAGCACGGGGCAAGTTCATTCACCTTTTGAGCCTCAGTTTCTTCATCTGTAAAATGGGATGATAGAATGTCCACCGTGAGAGATTGCCAGTAATAATACAGAATTGTTATTGTTAGTATTGTTATCGCTGTGTGCCGTCAAGTTGGAGTAGACTCGCAGCTGACCCTCCAGCAAATTTTCAGAGACAGCAAAGCACATGGAAGGAGCCTGCTCACTCTTCTTACACAGAGCAGCTGGTGGATTCAAACCACATACCTTAGGGTTTCAAGTTGCCATCAGGTCAATTCCATGCCATGGTGACCCCATGTGAGCAGAGGCCGTGACAGAGCATCCAGGCATGGCCTCAGACCCCTCTGTTGTCATTATGTGTCCCGGGTGGGTGCCAGCCCACCGTGACCCTACCCACAGGAGGACCATACCTTGTCCTGCCCCGCCGTCCTCACCTCTTCCGCCATGCTCATGCCCACTGTCGCAGGCGCTGTGTCTCTCCGTCTCATCGAGGGTCTTCTTCTCCTTTGCTGACCCTCTGCTATTCTGAGAACGATGTCAGCCACTGCTGACAGCACGCCCAAAGTCTGTGAGATGAAGTGCCAGCATCTCTATGCCTAAGGTGCATTCTGGTTGCACGACCCCACAATTCAAGGGCACCCATTCTTCCTCTGTCCTCTTTATTTATTGTCCACTGCTGGGTGACTTCGAGACACCAGTATTGGGACTAGTATTGGTGTACTTGACCGTTTCTGCTACTCAGGGACCCTCTGTGTTATTGTCAATTATCATTAACCTCAAGGGTCCAGGCAGTACAGTGGTTTAGCTAACTGACAGGTGGGCAGCTGAGACCCTCTGGCTGCCCCTGTAAGGATTCCCACTGCCAAGACCCTCAGGGGCACTTCCGCTCTGTGGTCCAGGGGTGCGGTGAGTTGGGGTCGACTCGAAGGCAGTGGGCTTGGTGTGGGGGTCATGATTAGCCTGCTATCTCTGAAATTGTCACTATTAACCCTTTTAAATTGTCTGTCATAAACTCTCTGTGCCTGTTTCTGATTGGCTGTGGATCTGTCCGTCTGTCTGTCCTGCCTGGGGGTCTCTGCGTGTTCACATGTCTTACGCCACAACCATAGGGCTTTGTCCTTCTGTGTCCCTTGACTCATGTCCTTATCCTTGTGTCTGGATCGAGTGGCTCACGTCTGTCCACGTCCCCACGTGGACGTGGTGCCCATGTGTCGGTGAACATGGCCGCTCGTGCCCCTCTGTTGTCCCAAGGACGTGGACCGTGTGTCACATACCCTCCTGCCTGCGACCACGTGCTGATGTTGTGGTCCTCACACCTGCGTCCCTGGGCCTGCAGAGCATGGGATCTCTCAGCCACATGTCCACCTGTGTCTGTCAGGGTCGGGCACCTGAGTGTGTATGGTGTTGAGCTCTGTGCTGTGTCACATGTCCATGTCCGAGGGGTGTGTCCACAGGTGTGGACACCAGGGGTCCCCGGGGGTGTGTAACTGTATCCCTTTCATAAACCCTCTCTCTGTGCTGGAGACCCAGGCACCACCTCACTCATCGCACCTCACACATGGCTGCCCCATGGCCATCTGTCCCCGGGGTCTCGTGCGTGGGGACACTGAACGGCTTCAGCGGAGCTCCCAGGCTGAGGTGGAAGTGGAAGGCAGGGATTGAAGTGACTTCTCAAAGCAGCCCCTGAAGACTCTCTGAGTCACACTGTGAGGACTGCAGCCTTCAGCCCGGTGGATGGGGACAGGGGCCATGGGGTGGGGTGGCTGGGGCAAGGCTAGCATGCTGTCCCTGGTGTGAGGGACTGAGTGAGTCAGGACTGCTGAGTCACTCAGCAGCCGGTGACAACAGGCGTCAGCCTCTGGGTGCTCTGTGCTGTGCTGTTGTGTTGTTGTGTGCCGTCGTGTCAGAGCCGGCCCGTCGCTGGCCCTCCAGTGGCTTCTGAGTCGGTGGATCACACGGCAGGAGCGGGGCCATCCTCCCACAGTGGGGGCACCCAAAGGAATGCATTAAACTCTAAGCAGACATCACCAGTCTCCCCATTTACAGAGAGGGAAACTGCCACGGGGCGGCCAGGAAGGGTGCACGTGCACCTTCGAGGTGGTGGCTCAGAGGGGAGTGGCAGTGCCGTGGTCCCATGGCCCCCAGTTTGTGAGGCGTCTGAGAAACACAAGGGCAAATGTGTGATATTAAACCCCTTGTGGTGTGGAGGTTAGAGTGTCCGGCTACTAATCGAGTAGTGGGCAGTCTGATCCCACCAGGGGCTCCATGGAAGGAAGGAGAAATGGGCCCCTTCCGGTCTCTGTGGGGTGGGTCCACTCTGGCCTGCAGGACCTGGCTGAGAGAGGAGCAACTGGATTGGGTGCAAGTCTGGGGGTCTGTGTAACACCGAGACCCTCACCCCCTTACCATGGGCTCTTCTCATTTTCAGGCCGGGGATCCAGGCTCCTGGGAGCAGCTGGTCCAAGGTGAGTCAGGGGCCAAGGAGAAGGGAAAGAGGTTCCCACGCGGCCTCCACCCCAGCGTGTTGCCCAACACCATTTGCAGAACTGGCCCCAAGCCCACAGGTGCCCCTCCCCTGCGCCTGAGAAGGGGAAGTTGCACCCGCTCAGGAAGGGTGGGGCTGGCTCCATGAGTGGGACCCGGTGACCCCCGGGAGGTGGCCCCCACCTCCCATTGCCTTCACTTCTCACCTCTGACCCTCTCTCCTCAGAACGGAGATCTCACCAGACCAACCCGGCAGCCCACCTCACAGGTGAGAGGACCTGGGGCTCCCCATGGGGGCTCAGGGGAGGTCCTTGGGAGATAGACAGACACCCAGCCTGCCTGGAGATGCTCTTACTTCCTGGGGACACTGCTCCCCGGGGGCTCTTGGAGTCATCCACCTATTCAGTATGTGTTTGCAGAATGGCCCAGGGAGTGTGTGTGTGTGTGTGTGTGTGTGTACTGCCGGTGGCATGCCACTGGGTGCCTGCCACCAGATGCTCCACACAGATTAACCCCCGATCTCAAAAGCAAGCTCCATTGACAGGACTGGGACTTGAGGCTCCTAGCAGCCCCAGGGCCCAAGCCTTCCACCACACTTTTCCCCTGCTTCCAGCAAGCCAATTAATTGCTCTGTGCCTCAGTTTCCCCCTTTTGAAGGCAAGTGACCAGCAGTTAAAGGCTCAGCTGCCCACTGCATCTGCCCGGTGGCTTCACAGTGCCATAAAGGGCACAGGCAGGAGCACTCAGTGAGGTAGACTCCTTGCCTGTCACATAGGGTTCCTATGAGTCAGATCTGATAACCACAGGATGAGTTCCATCACCTTTCTGTGCCTCAGTTTCCTCACCTGCAAAATGAGGATGGAATGAATCAAGGCTCAGGAACAAATGACTTGACCTCTCTGTGCCTCAGTTTCCCATCTGCAAAGTAGGGAGCAAGTGTGAACCTAAGATGAGCTTGCAGGAGGCGTGGGGAATGGCCCGGGCCGTGTAACAACCCTGTGACAGGTTCTAACTCCCTCATCTCTTCTCAGGGGCCAACGCCAGCCTGGTGGGCAGTGGGGGCCCACTGCTGTGGGAGGCGCAGCTGGGCCTGGCCTTCCTGCGGGGCTTGGACTACCGTGACGGGGCGCTGGTGACATCCCAGGCTGGTTATTATTACATCTACTCCAAGGTGCAGCTGGGCACCAAAGACTGTCCACGGGGGCTGGCCAGCAGCCGGCCAGTCACCCACGGCCTCTATCGACGCACACCCCGCTACCCCAAGGAGCTAGAGCTTCTGGTCAGCCGGCGCTCACCCTGTGGACGAGAGGCCAACAACCAAGTGTGGTGGGACAGCAGCTTCCTGGGCGGTGTGGTGCACCTGGAGGCCGGAGAGGAGGTGGTGGTCCGCGTGCCAGAGAAGCACTTTGTCCGGCTCTGCGATGGGACACAGTCCTACTTTGGGGCATTCATGGTGTGATGGCTGACTGAAGGGGAACCCAGCTGGGAGAGGCCCAGGAGAGGGCATGGAGAGCTCTAGGAAGCCCCAAAACTCAACAGGTGAGGGCTCAGTGGGCACCTCCAGGAGCCAAGAATCCAGCCACTTGCAGGATTGAAATAGCAAGCGTCCTGGAAGACCGAGGATGTTAGAGCCTGCCTTGGTCTGTACTGTGGACCATGCTGAAACCAGAGACTTGGGGGTCCTGCCAGGACCCTGGGGGAAAGGGGATTTGCCTGATGTTCAGGAAGAAGGAACGAGGAATGGGTATTTATGTTTTGATCCAGAGTGCAATGGAAAACAAGGGCTCAGGAACTCGGCCGGAGATGGGAAATGCCACCACCCACCTCATCCCATGACTGTGGATTGGGGGAGACTCATCATCAGGATGCATGTTTGGGGGGGCAGCCCAGCTACAGGCATGGGCCTAATCACACACTCGTGTTCCGCCCACAGGCTCCTGGTCACTCAGCATCGCTCATATAGACGTAGATCTTCTGGCACCAGCTCTTCTGGCAGTGGGCGCCATGGCAGTGGGTGCCAGTTTCCACGGTGTAAATTCACCCCCTGCTGGTTTCCAGCTGCTGGCGCATTATCCGTCTGCTGGCTGCGGAGTGCAGTCTAGGGAGGGTGGGGTGTTCACAGAATTGAGCCAGTGGTGGACTCGGGCACAGCTGCACCAGGTCCTAGCAAGGGGATCTGGCAAGCAGCAGGCACGTAGGGTGTGTGTGAGCAAACAGATATATGGGGACACCTACGGCATCGCAGAGACTCGATCGCCCAGCTCTGCAACCTCAGTTACCTTTCCCAGCCACTGAAGTGAAGGTGTTCTGTCAGACACACAACTGCACAGTCACACACAAGTCACACGATCCCAAGCAAACAGGCTCAGACACCGTGTTTCAGCCACACAGGAGTCACAAGGCAGCGTTGAGAGCACGTAATCACAGACACAAACCTCAGGGTCACATAGTCACACAGTCACACAGGAGTCAGAAGACAGCATCACAACCACAGTGACACCAGCCGCTCCTGTGACACACACTGCGCAGCTGCACGTGGGTCACAACTCCGCACAGGTACAGTCACGGACCCTGCATCACGGTCCCATGGGAGGCAATCAGTCACTGGTCACACAGCGGTGTTGCAACCACTGCCACAAACACTACACGTCCACCACACACCATCACACACACACAGGCCACAGCCAGCATATAGTCACACCAGGCGGAACCTCTCCTCAGATTCCCACAGGCTGCGTCAGAACCTGACCCAGCCGCCCAGCTGTGTTGTTGTTCATGGCCTTCAAGTCAAGCACGACTCATAGTGACCCTATGAACAAAAGGCCTGAAGCCCCTCTACAACCATCGACATTTATCAAAGTTCAAAGAGTCTCTGGAGGCATGTTATTTAGGAAATGCATGCTACTCCTGCTTGTACACATCTGTTTCTCTTCTCTCTCTCTCTCTCTCACACACACACACACACAACACACACACCAGCCTGAGGTTCCTTCTCTGCTAAGACTTGCATATATTGTTAGAAGTAGCCATTGTCCCCAGGCCTGGACCATGAGCACTGGCCCTTGAAATAAATGACAAACATTGAACTTGAGTTTGTCTCCTTCTTAAGGGAAAAACACAGCTGGGGAAAGTGGGCAGGGCTGTTAGGATCCAAAAACCCCAGGGGAGGCAAGCGGAGCACTGGGGAGTCACATCAAGCCCAAACTGGCTGCTGCCGACAGAAACAGCAGATTGGGTGTAAAGGTCACAGATAAGGAATCTGAAGAGCTCTGGTCCAGGCCTGTGCAGGAAGCAAGCACGAGATGCAGACCCAGAGACCTTGTACACAGATCTGCCTTCCCTTAAATCCCCAATCTGTCAGCGTGGAAGTCGCATTCAGCCACCCCTGCTTATTACATAAATCCACACCACGGTGGCCACCGGCAAAACCAGTAAGCAGCGTGGGGGTCAGAAGGGACAGAGAGCAATTCTTTCCACGCCAGTGGGCCTGTACAAATGAGTGCGCCCCACCTCGTGGCCTGAGAGAACTTACAGTCTTTGGAGGCCTTGGAGGTGAATGGGTGGTCCTAAGACTGTTACTGTGGTATTGTTACTGTCACTGTTCTGTACAGGAGTGAAGAAAGCAGACTGGCTTTGGGTTTCACTCTGCCCCTCACTCTCTGTGAGGCCCTTCACCCCTCAGAACCTCAGTTTCTTCACTGCACAAAAAGAGCTGGCGTTCGCCTCTGCTTCCTCATTTGTCACAGAGAATAAAGAAAATCAGGCTGTTTAACAAGCGGACACAGTCCCCAGGACACAGCACGAGCGCCTTCATTGTGCAGGGCCTGGGAGTGACTTGCAAATAGTAAAGACTAGCATTGGTCTTGTTGGTGTTGATTGCTGTCAAGTTGAGCATGATTCATGGCGACCCTATGAACAAAAGGCCTGAAGTTTTCCTATAACTTTCGACATTTATCAAAGTTCATCACGTTTCCAGAGGCATGTTGTTTAGGAAGTGGATGCCACGCCTGCTTCTATATGCTAGGGAGCCCATCCATAAAGGAGCCTCCCTCGGTGGCATGATGGTTAAAGAGTTCAAGTGCTGACCTAAAGGTTGGCAGTTCAAAGCCTCCAGCTGCTCCTTGTGAGAACAGTGTGGAGCTCTGCTCCCGTAAATACTTGCCAGCTTGGAAATTCTAAGGGGCTACGGCGTGGCTGTGAGTGTGAAGGCCCTTCACAACAGCATGGTTTCTGGAAACATCTCTTGGAAACCTCATCCCTGTGAGCCCGCTTCAGTCCCGGGCAGGAGTGTCTGCTGTCTTGTTCCAGATGGCTCGGACTTTCCAGCGCTTTGCCTTACTGTGCCAGTGGGAGGTGGGACAGCCCCAGACGCAACACCCCAGCCCCCGCCGGAGTTTCCTTGACTCTTCTGACTCTTATCTGAGCTTTTCTGTTTCCATGGTTTTGATAGGGAGACCAAGGTGTGGGGACAGTGTATTTATAAAAGCCACTAACTTCCGCAGGGGGTGGGGGGTGGGGGTGGGATGGAACCTCTCACTTTAAGCTCCAGGGCCCATTCCTAGGAGTGACCTCCCAGCCTTGAAGAGAAGGAGAGAGGATGAAGAGGGTGGTAGGTCAGGAGGCGGGAAGGTGTGGAGGGGGATGTAAACGAGGAGAGGGCGGGAGAGAGGGGATGGAAAAAGGAAAGAGGTGGTGAGAGAGGGGGTGGGGAGGAGCAGCAGGAAGGAAGGGGAAGGGGGGCCTCACAGGGGCTGAGGCTGATGCAAAAGGAGACCTGAACCCCAATATTATTTCAGATAAAGTGTGGGGACCGGAAACCCAGGCCACTGACCTATTTTTTTTTTTTTTAAGCTTCTGAGAAATTTCTGTCTTTGGTTTCTGCTTTCACTCCTTCGCTTCAGCTACTTCTCTGATTTCACTCTCACCTTCCTCACAACTTCCCAAGCCCTGAGGTCTGATAGCCCCACCCATCCCCTTCTCCCTGGTCCCCCCAAGCCCTGAGGTCTGATATCCCCACCCATCCCCTTCTCCCAGGTCCCCCCAAGCCCTGAGGTCTGATATCCCCACCCATCCCCTTCTCCCCAGGTCCCCCCAAGCCCTGAGGTTTGAAATCCTCACCCATCCCCTTCTCCCCAGGTCCCCCCAAGCCCTGAGGTCTGATAGCCCCACCCATCCCTTTTCCCCCACGTCCTGCTGAGGCCTAGAGATGGTCAAAACAAACATAGGATGGTGTACCTTCACACAGGGAGCTCTGGTGGCCTAGTGGTAAGACGTTGTGCTGCTAACCTTAAGGCTCTTGGCTTAAACTCACCTCAACGGGCAGAAAGATGGGCAATCCCTTCCCATCAGACGTACAGCCTCCGAAAACAGGCTGAAGGCTCAGCTACAAGTCGGTTCTGACTTGCTGGTACACAGAATGCATTGACACAGAAGAGGACTATATGTTTACAAAAAATGAACAGGCATGAAGGAAATACTGCACAATGTGAATGAAGCTAGAACAAATGATGTTGAGTGATCTAGGTCAGTCACACAAAGATAATTTTAGTATAAGACCATTATTATAAACAGCTAAGGAAGAGTCCTAGCTTCCTTACAGAATAAATACAGAATAAATCTTGGAATGTTAGTGGGTGGGTTTAAAGACACTTTTAAAAATCAAACTTTAAAAGAAAAGAGAATATGTGTTCAATACAGTTGTAACTTGCCTAAATATTTTTTATACCATGTAAAGTCTAATAAGTTGTTCTGTGACTTATTTCCACATTGAATTACATTATTAGTTACAATGCTGATTACCATCACTCAAACCTCGCTTATTGCTGCAGGTCCACG